ACAATAATTTTGTGTCAAAATAAATGATTTTGCTACTGAAATTTATAATAATGTACGCATTCAGTGGTTAATAATATTTCATTTTAAATATAATTTTCCTCAAGTAATTAGTTGTTTATAAGAATCATAAGCGACACAAAACTAAAGGTGTTAAAAGAACACAATGGAAAAACAAATCTGAAAGTTTTCAGATTTCAACGGTCGTCTAAAAGGGTTTATTAAGATTTTTTACGCTTTTCCTGAACCAGCAGCCTACCAGTTTGCTGTTACATACACTCCTACTAACCTATTTTTTCCGTTTGGTTGTTGTTGTCTTTTTTCCTTTATTATTAAGCTTAATTCAGTTGTTTTTTTTTTCAATACCAGGAAGCGGAAAATTAAATTAAATTTTCTTTCTGAAACTTCAGGAAAATTCAACAGAAACGGATTCGTAAATGTAGAATTTTTATTTTTTCTTAATTATATGTAACTGTAAATAAATAATTTTCACTTAGAATATAAACACTCAATTTTTATGTGTTAACGCACAGACTGATTGCATCTTAATATGATAGTGTACTGGTAAGTCAATCAATCGTCAAATCAAGGATTAATTTCTCTTTCCTTTTCACTTTTTTTTGTTTTGTTTTTGTAGTGAGTTTTTAGCAGTTTTTTTTCTTTTGCTTAACCGAAGTCATAATAATTTAATATATAAAACTGTAATAGAAATGAATATGGGTAATTTTACTCATCATATGTTATTTTGGCCTTTATGAATTTGACAATTAAAAGGAAATTTAGAGTAAATTTTCTATATTTTAAGCTAACTTACTATACGTTATATTATTTAATACAATTTGTTCCGAAATAATTACTATTGTTCAACTACAGTTAGCAATGGCTATAATTTTGAATGAAAACACAACAAAAGCGGTACATGTGGTTAATTTAGTGAATGTATATTTAGGCTAGATAATATCAAGATAGACAGAGTACGCTTTACTTAAGCTAAAAAAATGCCTTTCACTATTCTCTGAGGTTTTCAGTTTTTAAAAAAATAGGATATTTTTTAAGGTTAATTAAATGCAGGTTTAATAATTTTATAAGCTCTACGTGAGACGAAACCCAATAAAAAACATTTTTTGAGTGAACTGTAGATAAAAGGTAGATATTTATCTACTTTTGGCTTTGCGAAAAGCCCAAAACAATGAATTGTGGATATCTATCGCAGCATGCTTTTGAATAAATCATCTTCACATGCTTATTATTGATCAAATATGCTTGTCTAAACTAAGAGAATGATTTATGTATCTTTTTCTTACTTCTGATTAATTTTCCACACACTTTACATTCCAATATTTATATATATATATACTTTTGTATGCATTTATAGTACATATTTTTGAATTCATTTATATTAATATATATTTTTATTTAGCATATATTTTTATATAGTACATATTTTTACATGCATTTAGTATTTTCACATATATTACACTGGGATCATTTCTTATCATATAATTCAAACTAGGTATCTAAGGTAAATTAGGTATTCTTTATCCTAAAATAAAGTGGTAATGAAAACAAAAGGGTTTAAAAAATTTTAAAGAATATATAAAAAGATCTGAAAACTTTCAGCTTTTATATTACTTCCAAATGGCAGTTTTTGTTAACGTTTTGTCTATTACCTTTGCTTATTAAATATCATGTTCTTCGCCCTTAAACCATATAAAATTGAATTCAACAAAAGTATCATGAAATATTTAAAAACAGCATATCTTTAGAATTTCCAATAGACAGTTTCGAGCGTTAGAGATAAATCTTTCTTTCGTACAGTGCTCGATTTGAAATCGTGGAGTTTGTTAACCAAAAATTCGCTAAAGTTTTACAGAATATGAGATAGCTAATAAAAGAATTTCAAAATTCAAAATTCGAGCTCCCAGGTTCCCAATGCTTGGGAATGTTAAAAAACGCTCCTTTGGGTGTAATATAAAATCTGAAAGAGTACAGAATTTTCTTTTTTTAAGCCCTAAGTAATGTTAGCCTAGAAGAGCTATTAATCTCCAAACGGCATTTTGATTCAGTTCACTATAAATGATCTTTTCACTTTTCAGATTGTTGTCTCCAAATATTATCACCCTGTATTGTATTTAAAGAAATTAAACAATGAAGAATTACGGTACCTAGAGCCATCAAATTTTGAATAACGTAGTCCTCCAGCCGAATACGGGCACTTGGAAGCTCAGGTATGGAATTGGTTCTATTATCTCTTTCATATTTTGTAAAATGTTAATGTATTTCTGATTAACAAGCTCACCAATTTCAAAACGAGCAATGGCAACATTGTACGAAAAATAAAAATATATTTTTGTCCAGGGTGCGAGACTGTCTTTCGGAAATTCTAAACATATGCTGTTTTTAAATATTTTTAGCCCAAATGCCTTCGAAACATGTATATGCGTGTAAATGAAAAAACACCATTTTGAGCGTAATATAAAGTCTGAAAGTTCTGAACCTGTTTTGTATTAATATACTAAACCTTCGGAATAAGAAAAATACTCAGAGGATAAGGTTTTGATTTACAGAAATAAGTTCACTTAAAATTTTACATGAATTCAAAATTAAGCACTTTTATAGCTTGTATTTATACAAGTATCTTATTACATAAGACTGATATAAAGTAATAAAAATTAGACCAAATTATTAGCTTAAAAATTAAATTGAAATTAAGAGAAATTATTCTTTTATCCTAAAGTAATTTTACAAATACTTGAATGCTCTATAATGAATTCGTGTACTCTATTCCAAAAATATTTTATTCACTCTAATTAAAATTTTTGTTCCGAAATTAAATTTTTAAACTTATATATAACTTTACATTTATATTAAATTTTATGACTCATCACACTTTTGAACTTACTTATAAATAAATTATCATAACAGGGTTAGAACTTCAAGTAAGTTTAATGTTTCATTTTATTTTATAATAATTTTTCCTGGCATTTCATAGAGAATTCTGCATCCATATGCAGTTATATACATGTCCATGCTACGTTACGGTAACTAACAAAATGTTCATATTACAACTTTTTTTGTCACTTGGGTTATATTTACATTATAATATTATACATTTTACGTTGTTCTACATCAATAAATGTTATTTGAAAACAAAAAGCAATTAGTAAATATTTTTGATATTTTTATGGAAAATTCAGTGCTTTTTAATAAATAAGGATATGGACCTGAATCTTGAATTATATTAACTTTATGGACTAAGCAAAAGTTTTGCGCTATCGTGAATACGAACACTGGAATATAGCGTTAAAATATCTCACATAATGCATGATTTGCAATTTGCTGAAAAATATTTAGTGAATTAGCAGCAAAAGCATTTCGTTTTAAAAAGCTATTTAAAATCACATCAGAAACTTAGCACTTTCTATAAATTTAATTATTGTGTTTAATCTCGTAAGTCTTTTTCATATTATCTGCTCATTCGACGAAGCAAAGTATTGAACTTTATACTTTGAAAAAAATTGATGGGGGTAATAGCAAAAATATCCACGTAAACCATTTCGTCAAATATGCGTAGTAATATATGTAGTGTTACGTCATATTTACGATTTCAAAAAACACTAAAAATGTTTCCGTTTACGATTCATTCGGAATAATTTTTCTTTGATTGAATAAAGTATGATAAATCTGATTTACATACATTATCCAATCGCATTCAATATTAAAACTGGATATACTCTAATAAAAATGATCTCATTCAAAAATGAACTCTGAACACAGAGTGATCACAATGTCATGTAACACGTTGAGCATAGTTTGAATTCCGAAGAAAGCAAGAATGTTTGTACTTTGTAAGAGTATAGTATCTGCGTGGCATGGGGGCACTTAAAATACTGGCTAGTGGTATCCGTTCCCATCTCTTTGGTGCACCTTGGGGGAAAGTTACAATGGTGAGAGACCTAAATGACTGAAGCGTATTGGCCATTCCTGACAAATGCATTAAGTTTAATGTGCCTGACAATTTCAACAAACAACAACAAAGTAGTTGCATTCATTACTCCAGCAAATCCTAGAAAACATTACTCATTTTAAAATTTTCCTTTCGCATAATTCTAAAAATAATTTAAATTATTTAAACATTGAAATTTGTTATTTTGTTACACGTATACAAGCGTAAATAAGATATCTTTTTATGAGTTTTGTGTTTTCCTTAGAATTAGATATTGCAATCTCACTGAAATTTCTGCCTATTTGCGAAAATATTAAATAGGCTTTTTTATATCAAGGCTTTTTAACTTCTTTCTTATCTGAAAGAACTTTATCTTTTTTTATATAATAAGAACATTTCATTAAATTAGTTCTAGGTTTGTTTCCAAATGTTCTACTGTAAAGCACAATATTTTTATAGTTTCAAAGAGTAATATTCTTAAGGAGGAGAATCAATATTATTTATTTTCATTTCGGTTATATTTCAAATAAACACAATCGGAAGAATTGCAGTGTTTCTTGAAAATATCAGCAGAAGTAAAACAACTTGGTAAATAAATAATTCTGCTTATATTTCCAAAGGAGAAAAAAAAAATATTTTATTTTAGCTTTTTGTTGTAATGCTAAAATAAAATTACTCTCTGTTGTTTTGTTTATTGCTAAGATATTCTATAGCAAACAGGAGTTCATAAAAGAATCACGTGAGAAATAGCCCAGTTTCTAGCTAGTAATAATTAAAATTCATGAATCACAAAGAAATAGTACATCATCGTAATAGAAGCATTAATAATATTTAATTTATGCAAAATTTTGTAATTTTAAAATTTAAATTATGATTTTAATTAAATGGAGAGTAAGGTGTTGGATTTAAAATACCTCATTCACAGCCGATAATTATAGAGTGAAGATAATATATTACATCACAAAATATTATTCTGCCTTCGTTAGGTCATTGCAAATTTTGTAATTTTATAGTTCTCTAAATAATAGAGAGAGGCAAAAGATTTGGAATATATTACTTACCCGAGTGTTGTCATGGTCACAATAGTGTACCAGAAGGCTGAAGGGATGGAGGTAAAGGTAGTATCTTCGACATTTTTCTCAGCGTAGAACATAACGGTGGCAAAGATGATAATGGCCATGGCCAAGGAAAAGACCAAAAACCCCAATTCCGAGGCACAGCTTTTGAGAGTGTACCCCAGTATACGGAGGCCCTGAGAATGCCGAGAGAATTTGAAGATCCGGAATACACGAAATACACGAAGGGTTACGAAAGCCCCGGAAACATCGTCGTTGTCCTTTATGCCGAGTCCTATATAGTAGGGCATGATGGCCACCACATCAATCACGCTCATCACACTTCGGGTGTACTTGCAACGGTCAGGAGCAGCGTACAACCTCAGGAGGTACTCGGCAGTGAAGATCATGACGCATGCCGTGTCCAGGCAGAAGAAGGCCGCCTTGTACGTTTCGCCGCATGACATCTTTTCACCTGTCGCATCGTTCGTGCTGCATGGGAGGGTCTCGCAAACATTCGCGAACACCGAGACAGCAATAAAGAAACCTGTCACATAGTAGAAGACCAGTGCCGCAGTGCTTGTGTGCGGGTTTTCGAAAGCCCGCCACATGCGCTCTCGGATATTGGCGTGTGGCATGTTATCTGCCTCGTTGGCTTCGGACAACCGGTCGTCCATAAGCCTTTCCGCGTTCTCTCTTTTCCTGTCGCGGTAGTCCTCGTAGCAGCAATCGCCGATCACGTCCGGGATGATACCGAAAAAGGCGAGTTCCTCGTCGTACGACATGAGGCACTCATGTTTCGGGTAGTGTAGTTTGCCCGTCCTGTAATAGTTGAGGATGTGTCGGAAGATGTCCGGGTCCCGGTCAAAGAAATATTCCTTGCAGTCTTCATCATAGAAGAACTCCCGCTCGTTGGAGCCTAAGAGTGTGTCAGGGTACTTTTCTACGGTATTTCGCCACGTTTCGAATTTACGACCACTTACGTTGATTATGAATTTTTCATCTTCGCGCTTGCGATGCTCTTTGGTAATGGGCGGCGCGGGAAGGGGCTTATTCGCGATGGGCACCCAGCCTATGGCCGCTGCCCTGGCGAAAGGCAGCCAGGCGGCCACAGACGCCATGTCTTCACGGGGACATCGCTTTCCGGAGTCTGGAGTGCCGGCGTTCCTGTTCGGACAGTTCCTGATTCGACCGTCGCCAAAAACACCGCCAACTGATACTCCCTCGGAGCGCTATGTAGACGAGAGAACCTTTGGCGTGATACTAAGCGGGGAGGGGAAAGGATTGAACAGAAGCTTCTTCCGTTTTATTTTCCCCATTGTATACGTATAGGAAATATTATACAGGTAGCAGAGTTTTGTATTTTATCGGAATATTCGCTTCCATGGTTGCAGTTACTGGGGCAAAATAGCTTACTTTTCCTCACGTTTTTATTCAGACTTTTAGAAAAATCCTCTTGCGTCATAAAAGCAAAAACTTTATAAAACTATAAACTGATAATAGTTCTATCTATATAATTCATATAACAGTATGATAGACAAGCTCTATTTAAAAATGACATACTAATTTTTGTTCTTTTTCCCCCGAGCATGCACGAGAAAATACACTGAATTATAATTCTCATTCACAGTATGAAAATTATTCGACTTTTTTAGGATTGGTAAGTGCAAGTACATTTCATAACTAGCTTCAGTTATAAATTAAATAATAGAAAACTGTTTAAACTTTTGATAGGGAGTGTTAGTGATCAATAATTAACTAAATTCTTAAATAACAAATCTAAAGGACTGATTTGATTATTAATGCTACATAATGTAAGATATATATATATATATATATATAATTTAAACGAAAACGAATTATCTAATTGCGTTATCTTACTATTATTCTAAGATACGATAATTCAGAGGGTTCAACAAATATTATTAAAGATGAGAATTTGCCTCTGCATCCAAGCCATAGCTTATGTTAAATGTATACAAATATAATATTTTAAAAATATTTCTATATTAATATTGATTTTCCATAATCATATAGACTTCGAAGTGAAACAAATCAAAGTTCGAAAGCAATATCCGAATGAAACAAAAGTATAAGATTTAATATGCATTTAGTTTCTCTCAAATTTAAGAAAAATAATTATCTTTGTTTCTAGAGATCTATCCCCACCCAAAAAAAAAGTTATGTGTTCTTTTATTTTAAGAAAGGGCTAATAATATTTGGTATATATTACTAAGATTTTAGGGAAGAAATTAAATTGAGCTTAGATTTGCCTTTTTAATGCTCGTACATGGGAAAAGGATATTTACAATTGTCATAAAAAGAATAACATGAAAAAGAAATATTAAAATTACTGATAATGAAATTTCCTGTAATTTATTTTGTACTCACTTATGTATTAGAATATGAAATTTGAATGAATGATTTTTAAGATGCGATTTGTAATATAATCAATTTAAAATCACAAATAATATTTTGTATTCAGTAAGAAAAATCTTTTATATTATGCCCAAAGAGGCGTTTCTTTAACGTTTTGAGTGTTACCTTTATGTATTAAATATATCATGTTCTTCGCACTTAAACCACATAACATTCAATTCAACAGCAATATCAGAAGTATTTAAAAACAACATAGCTTTAAAATTTCCGATAGACAGTCTAGCGCGCTAAAGATAAAAATGTTTTTTTTTCGTACAGTGTTGCCACTGCTCTCTTTGAAATTGTTGTGTTTGTTAATAAAAAACGCGATAATCTTTACAAAATATTAAATAGATAATAAAACTAATATAATCTTTTCTTTAGAAAATTTGGGCTTCTAGGTGCTCATGTTTGGGTGGAGGATTAGGTTATTCAAAATTTGATGACTCTAGGTTCCGTCGTTTTTTCATAAGGCGAGAAACATACATGTATTCATGCAGATTCTACATTATTTATTTAAATATAATACAGGGCGATCATATTTTGTGGCATCAATTTTAAAAAAATGATACGCCTTTTATAGTGAATCGACGCAAAATGCCGTTTCGAGACTAAGAGCTCTTCTGTGTTAACGCTCATTTGGGCAAAGATTTATTCATTTTCTGTGCGCTCACCATCAGAGAGATGTTTTGACTTCATTACTTGCTGTTGATGTCATCTATGTAACACCAGTTTGCTTTAATGTTTGCTGTTGATATCAACAGTATAACAGTTAGAATGTTTTCCGAAAGCTGGTTTTCCGAAAATCTTCTAATCGTCTCCTATGTATATAGAATTGTTTTATTTCTATGTAATCAGGATCTAGATTCATTCTAAATATCAGAACTATCTTAAATTAAGGACAGTTTAGCTCGGAAAAATATTTATTTATATTTTCCACATTCGTACTGGTTTCAATCGCAAAATTAGACTTGTAGTGAGACTTGTGGCCATAATCAAGTTAGTTTAAAAACTTTAGTAAAAGACACTGCTTTAAAATGCTAAGGTTAACTGATATTCTGTGTAAAGAAAATATGCTGATAAACTCTGTAAAAAGTTTATTTTGGTAGTAAATTAATGTCGTTTTATAAATTATTTAATTTTTCAGATATGTTTGAGATTTTTTCTGCTTTTACAGGTAGCAAAATACAGTAATATTGCATCTTACTGGTTTGAAAGATTCTAATGCCAAGACAAATCATACGATTTCTCTTTTCTGAAGATTAAATGAGTATAGATAACACTGATTAGGCAAAACAATTCGGAAGCTATGTATCTATGAGAAGGCATGCATTCGTGGGGCTGTTTCTTTAGGGAGACTAGTTCATACACATGAAAGAAATTATGGAAGATCCTATGGAACCAGAAAATTGTTTGAGACTTTTTCTGTTTTTATAGGAAGCAAAATACAGTAATATCATATTCACATCGAAGGTTCTAATGCCGAAACAAATCATACGATTTCTCATTGCTGAAGATTAGATGAGTTTGGATTAATTGTTTAGATAAAAAAGTTCGAAAGCTACTTATCTATGAGAAGGGATGCTTTCGTGGAGTTGCTTTTTAAGGGGACTAGTTCGTTTGTGCGTAACACATTAAAGAAATCACAAAGGTCTCATGGAGCCAGAAAATTCATTAGCATTTGAACCCGGATCGTACTATTAAGACTTATTGAGTGTGCTATTCAAAGGAAATTGTGGCGTCTGCATATAAATACATTAAACCTTTATATTTAAAGAAACCGGGAAAATAATCGATCGCAAACTTTCAACGGGAAAATAGAAAGATAACAATAAACTTCAAAGAGCAAAGAATTTTCAAAACTCTTTGCTTAGAAAAATAGTATAGCCTTAGAATTCAATAAATTTACTTTTAGAGTACATATTATTTGAATATTGAAACATTACAATATTTTGGAATCGCAAAATTGAATATATGTCTGAATACTTTGTTTCTAAACTCATTTGCATTTTTATTGAAATATGTAACTTTAATGAGGTTATGTTCCAATGCTTTTTGATAAGCAATGGATAATTTCTAAGTTTTCATTTTTTTGAGAAGCATAGAGGAGGACGAAGATTTCTGTAAGTAAAGGGGATTTTTGTTAACTTGTGTCTACACTGGCGGTGGAAACATTTTCAACAAGGAGAGTACTTTTATTTGTTTTATAAAGCATATTTACGTTTCAATCAATTCTGAATACTTAATTATGGCAAACCGTTTTAGAATTATCTGACTGAGAAGGAATATTTCTGAAGAAAGACATTCGGAAAAAATATTTATTCAGATTTGAACTACACATAAAAACATACGAAAAAGCCGACATATCACGCATTTACTAAAATCGATCTTCCGGGCTAAACTACCATTACATCATGATTTCAGCCGTTCTGCGAAAGTTCTATTACCATAGTAGTCTAATACTGTTAACTAAAGGAGGTGTATATACAAAAACGTAATATAAATTAGTTTTTCATATTAAAATAATTTGCTGGATATATAACATTGTTGCACTTAATTTTTTAATTTCATGATTTTTGCAAAAAACTAAAATTTAAATAACTACACTTAAGGAACACTTTTAAAATATTGCTTTTCAACTTATAAGGTATTTCTCCCGCCGTCTTGGCATGCCCTCGTGGTGTGGTGGTCTGCACGCTGAGTGCGTATTCCAGAGGTCCGCGGTTCGATTCCCGGTGAGGGCGTTGCTAATTTTTCATCTTGCCTGCTTCCAAAAAATCTTTATGCCTCTACAAACTAACATATTAAATTCATATATCGTAAGGTTATATCTAATGTTGTTGTCCTGTCCATGTATTTCATGGAAAAATGGCTGCGAGAGCCTAAAGGAGATTGGACTTCTAATCCACCCCAATTTTGAGGGAACTTTCTCCTACCACCAAATCACACGAGAGGACTTTCGGTCATCATATATTTAGAATGCCCCCATGCCACAAAGCCACTATACATTTACAGACATGCCTTCTCCGGGATTTGAACCCAGACCCTCGAGTACCACAGTAGGATCTCTTAATCACTGTAGCACCCGGACGTCATACAGTATCTAATGCTAATAACAATCAATCTATTAATCTTTAAGTATAATAAAAAAAGGCTATGTAAATCAGGTATTTGCTATTTTTTCCCAATCGCCGGCCACTTGCAATTTATTGCATTCATTGTGAATGGCTAGTGCCCATCGATCATTTAGCCGTCTGGTCACTGAGAATGTCGCACAGGGTGCACCATAGAGGCGATTGGATTGTGCCCGTGAGAAAGTGTAAATTTCGATGGAGAATAACCTATAAGGTATTTCTTCCGACTTCTTAGTATGCATTCGTGGTGTAATGGTCAGCACGCCCGGCGCGGATTCGAGAGGTCCATGGTTTGAGTCCCGGCGAGAGCACTGCTTAATGTTCATCTCTCTTGCTTCGAAAAGGACCTAATGTCTGTACAGTGGCGCCCGAACTAAAAAAAAAATGGTGGATGATTTTATTTTTACCACCAGGATTTGGCGATTGGATCCCCTAATCCCCAGTTGCTCTTTCAAAAAGGGAAGTATATAAGGTATTTCTCCCGCCTTTTTAGCCTGCGTTCGTGGTGTAATGATCAGCCTGCTTGGAGCGTATTCGAGAGATACGAGGTTCGATTCCCGGCGAGGGCG